AGCTTCGCATCAAGCAGGAAAATTTATTTGGATATCAAAAAACAGAAGCGCTAGTTACATTCATGCGCAAGACGCCAAACAATACTTTCCCGATTTATTGGCATGAAACAAAGAGCCAACCCGCACCATTCCCCCGATATAAAAAATGAAACGTATGGAATATAGTAACGAGGTAAAGACACTGCTGCTTAAAGTAATAAAATTCAATGGTGATCTTAGACCAATTATCAAATTAGGTTTTGAATATTCTCAAATTGTGGAGTTGATTCAAGACGAGATAGCAGTGGGAAACGTTCAGCAGAAAAATGGTGAAATGTTTATAACTGAAGAAGGTAATAAACTGATCGATTCTCTTGTGGCAAAACGTAACGGAGGGAGTGATAAATGGATTGAGCCCGAGATTGAAAGCCGAATTGCGAAATTTCCAAAAGACTTTATATTTTTACCGAATAGAAAGGAACTTTCTTTTTAGAAAAATATCTCTAGGCAACTAGAGCGGTGAAGTGAGTCACTTTGCTGTATGAGAATGAGCTTTCAAGCTTTTGCGTGTAAGATGTGCGTAAAGTCTCCGACATTTCCACCCATCTTACACGCCTTGTTCAGTGGGCCTAGAGAAATCTAGGCCCATAAATGATTTTACGATGACGCATGAACAATATGAGGTTGGTTTTAGAAAAAAAGCAGGTAAGTCTGGATTCTCGGAAGATGAGATCGTTAAATGCTTAACATACGCGACGATTCTGCTAACGAATAAAGTTCCTGTAATTTATAATACATCTAACCTCTCAAATTTTGTAGGCTACAGTAAAAGCTACCTAAAACGTGCGGTGCTTTTTACTAACTATTTTTATCGAACTTTCAAAATCAGAAAACGAAACGGGAAACTGCGGGAAATTTCAGAACCTCTGCCTAGTCTAAAAGAGATTCAGTCTTGGATATTGAAGAATATCCTAGAATCGATCCCGGTTTCAAAATTTGCCAAGGCTTACGTCCCGAAGCGTACGCTTCTTGAAAATGTTAAGTTCCATCGTAACAAATCTAAAGTTGTCACACTCGATATCGTAAACTTCTTTCCTTCCATCGGTCGGGAAACAATTGAGAAAATATATCTAGATTTAGGATATTCTTCAAACGTATCAAACCTTCTT